GGGGGAGGGGGGCGGATATGGCATTTCAGACTACTGAAAAACCAACAAAAGTTACGACGCGGAAAGTTTTTTGTCAATGCTTTCCCTATCTGGGCGGCTATACAGAAAAGTCCTTTTACCCCTATCTTGATTCTCCTCAGAATTGTCCTCTAGTGTTAATCCAGTTTAAAGCCTTCTCACTATGCTTTCCTTCACTCTCTTTGAGATCTGCAACGGTATAACGATAAATGGAGGAAGGTAACTATTTTAGCAGGCCAAGTCTCCGCATTTGGGAGGTGACCCTATTATAGACGTAAAGGGAACGTACGAATATCTGCAGTGGAACCAAGAGAACTGTCCGTATAACAAAAGCGTTCGTATTATGTGGAGGATGTCCGTAAGGACTAACCTGAGATCAGGCCCAATTTTTGTTCCACTTTGTAAACATTCCGGCGGGCAAGGCGACGCGCTGGCCGTTGGAGAGAATGTATGAGAACCGCTAAAATTGGGCCTGATCTCAGGTTAGTAAGGACGAAAAGACAGTGTTACTTAAAAAACTGCTATCAAATTTTTTTGCCATTAACGGGTACTGATCAATGAGTGAGCTATTTCGGCTTTATTCCAAATTAACAGCTGGCCCTTGTAATAAATCTTATTATTGTAGCTTATTATATATCTTAGTTAGTACGCGGGCTGCGATTGGTCAATTTTGAGGGCCGTATTCTCCAATACGGCCCACCAAATTTGAAACTTTTTTCTGCGGTCAAAATGTCTTCGGAAGACTCTCTCGAAACGTATATTTAAAAGGTTTGTACGCAGACAGAGAAAAACGACGGGACACTTTACAAGATGAAGAAAATTTGCCAAACTTTCATGTGGAAAGGCGAAAAAGTAGCCAGCTGAAAGAAGGCTAAAGACGTTTTGTCGGTAGATGTTCCTCGAGAGAATTATTCTTAGCTGGGATAAAAGTACTCGCTTTAAGATTTAATTGAAATCGGTAGTCCTGACGAAATCTCTAGCTGTAAAAGACCTAGAAAAAGTAAATTGGTGCGTATTGTCCCTGCAGGGTCGTCCAGGTTTAATGGAGCCGGTTGCAGGATCCTCAGTGATAAACTCTTGTTCACGATCTTGTTTCACAGCTGTTGATGGTGGCTTCTCCGATTGGAGCCCATTCTCTGACTGCGATGTGACTTGTGGCAGTGGCGTCAAAGTACGAACAAGAACCTGTACTAATCCCCCTCGCCAGTGGAAGGGAAAGGACTGTGTTGGAGCAAGAAAGGAGTCCATGGCTTGCAATGAAGGACCATGCAAGTGATACATCAAACGCTCGACACAAAACAACGGTAGGAAAATCATTCATCAGTAAAGAAGCGAGTAACCAGCTTTTTTGGACTCTTAAGCCGCGGTGAAGAGTTACTGAAACATTAGAGTGGAATTCAGCGGCTTGCTTCCTTAAAGCCGAAAATTATATATGATTATATATGATGAAATCGCTAGATTTAAAAAACAGTCAATTAAAGTAGACATTTTCTTAGTAATAACCATTCTGACAACTATATGCTATTTATTCCTATTGAAAAACTCAAGACTGGACGTGATTCCATTAGGAAGGCGCGAAGCGCATTACATCCGTAAAAAAAGGACCTTGATAAGCATCATGATTTATAATTCGTCATTATACTTAGTATATAATATATCTTAATTTGTATAGAAACACCATACTACGTCACTTCCGCCCATTGTAGTACTGCTATATATGTTGTAGTTAATTTTTTATCTCAGGTAATTTTAATTTTTCTATTGTTTTTGGGTATGGTAATATATGCTAATGAATTTAAACAAAAATAACCTGAAATTAAAAAATCAACTGCAACATATATTTCTGTAATTTCGTGATCTTCCTAATAAACCTGATGAAGACTGGTAATGCCGGGCCAGTCGAAATATCGTAACTACAGTCTTTTTGTATATAATTTACACTTTTTATAAATTTTGACTGATCGCGATCTATTTTGATCCAACGTTGAGAGCAAGATTGATCGTACACGGTTTTTTGCAGTGGTCTTGCACCTTAACTTTTCATTATACCTCCCTGAGTACCTCTAGCGGTACTCAGGGATAGCCTGTGTACAGATGTCCCCCCTCCTTTTCTGAGGGAGGGACGACGTCTGTACACAGGCTACTGAGGGAGTACCGCCAGAAACTCGGTCAATCTGTAGAGGTCACAAGTTAGAGTTCTGTACTTACTACGTGTAAAGTTCTTCCTCAGAACCGGTCCGACTTCAATAGACCTTTTTACCGATACGGCGGCCATATTGAATTTATTAGATTTAAGTTGTATTATGGGATGCCCAGGGGGCACTCGGTTAGTGTTTACGCGCGCTTTTCGGGTAAAAAGAGAACTTCACTGTATATTTCTTGGCTAAATGACGATCATTATTACATCCAAACACAGTATTACGATCTTTTTTTTCCCATTACAATCTTTTTCGAGGAAAACTTAAAGAAAAATTGGCCCGAAAACCGCGCGTAAATACTGGACGAGTATATCGGATCGTGNGGTGGAAATAGGCCATTTCCGAGTTCCAAAAAATCTCACTTTCAAAACGAGGCTAAGTGCGAAACCTTTGTTGTGAAAATGAGTTTTATTTGCATCATAATTAAAAATCATTTTCATATCAGTAGCTTCGCACTTAGCCTCGCTTTGAAAGAGAGTTATTTTGGAACTCGGAAATGGCCTATTGGTGGATTTACACGCAAATCTCAATAGTCATATGGTTTTCCCCTATGGATTTCTTTGCAATGTTCACAGGGTTCATGATTGAAGTAAAATTGAAATTTATTAAAGAGAGCTTTGCTCTTAGAGTCGTCCATATGTAAGAAACCTTCTGCCTCGCAATCCACCAGTACGGCTTGTTACAGTTCTAGGAAACGCATTTCGTGAATATGAATCGCAAAAGAGCCCTGAAACACTGAGAAAGAGGGAACCTTATGAAGGCAAGTTCCCCTCTATGTCAGACCATTGCACCGACCCACTGTGTTTCACTGAGCTATTAAGCTAAACCAAGTGTCACTGGGCCCTCTCCTTCTTCCACATAAGCTCTTTCTGCGTTTACCGGAAGTGTCAAGTTTCCCGCATACAATATTCCCAACTTCCGTTCTGAAGAAAAGGCGAGTGTACATCCCCGCGGGGAGAGATACTCTTGGCACTCCTGGTTGGGCCTGGTATAACATTTGACTCGCCCCATGTAAGGGAATACATATTCCGGAATCCGATAAATTTTTGCTTGTAAAATCAGGAATCCTACGAATTGGAATCCGGAATACAGCACATGAATCCTGAATCCTACTAAAGATTGGAATTCAGAATCCAAGCTTCACTAACAGTCTGGAATCCAGTACCTGGAATCCGGAATCCGAGGCGTGGAATCCAGAATCCAAGACTGTCTTGGATTCCCTTACATGTGTCGATTTGAGCTTCTCAACATACAATTGTATAGTTTTCCACTTTTCATTCCGGACCAAAATGGCTGATTTTTTCTGCAAGTTCTGGGAGTGATCTCTATAAAGAGTCGCACTTTTGGAATAAAACGGCCCAAACAAAACATATGGATCAAATAAGCTTATACGGATGGGACACCGCTGACTTTACTCTGGTGCTTATGCGAGAGTAACTCCTTTGCGACGTGGAGGCCATGTAACAGCAGCGGAATTTTGATTAAAACAGATTACGGCAGAGTGGACAAGTGGCATTGTTGCTTGTGCTAAACCATTTGTATAGACAGGCCGAGTGGAACTTTTTCTTGCAAGTCTTGCAGCTTAGCTTGGGAAGAGAGTAGTTACTGCCATGAATCACGGAAAAACATATCATACAGTCATCTACGCCCTCGAAACGTTTGTCTACGTTCCGTTTCCACAAAATGAGTCCATCCATGATACTGCCATTCTAAAAAAGATACAAAACAACGGTCAGATTACACCACTGGTGCTCAAAATGGTATTAGAAAAGAAGGCCTATTAGGAAATTCATTGTCGAGCGAAGGAGAGTTCAGCAAAGAAAAGGAGACACGTTATACTCTTGTTGGTTCACATTTTAACTTGAGCAGAACAGAACGCTATTAGACGGACAAAGGTCCACTGCAATTAATAAAAATATGCGGCTTCCCCTTTAAAGGTCTGAACAGGTTAACAAACATACGACAAA